GCCTAGTCTTTTCCCAAGTAGGCAGAGGCACCTCTGCAGTAGAAAACATGTCACCTGAGGGCTGCTTATTGTATTGAAATGATCAGGAAGACAGTCATGCAGTTTCCAAAGCTCGCCTGACCCACCCACTCACCTGGTGTCTCTTGATAATGTCCTTTAATTTCCCTAGCAGTTTGGGTTCAATTTCTGGGCACAGAAAAATGTTAGGTCGAGACAGGCAGTTATTCTGTGGGGAGAAGAAAGAGATGGGATGGGATCATGGGAAAGGCGTGATTTGGATTTTCACTGAGGGAAAGGAGATGGACAAGGGAGGTTCTTGACTATTACCTGCACCAAGGATTTCTCAATGGTCATGAACATTTCCACGTTGCGGTCCATGCGTGATGGATTCTGGAAATCGTAACGCCGCCTTGAAAAGAGGCAATAACTTATAGTGAGTGTTATAGATCAGGTCTGAGGATGAGGTTAGGGTATATGACTTTTCAGCATGGGAAATCAGAAAGCAGTTTTGCTCACAACAGTTGCCAAAATGGCCTGGGATCTGGGGTTCACTAAGCTCGACTCCATGAATCATTTGTACTTAGTCCAAAAGGACAAAGAAAAGCTTGAGATGCCAACCTAAGAATCCCCTTTCCTCTACAACACACACATTGATGCACACACACATACACACATACATACTCACTTGCTCTTAGACACTATTTTGGCTCTGATTCTCAGCCATTTTTCTGACCTAGCAAGTCACACCTACTGACCTAGCAAAGTAAGAGACTCGGAAGAAGGTCTACCTACGTTCTCCCATCCCAGAAAGACCCCAGGAAATCATAAAGGGGGAGTCCCTCTAAATGTAAGAAGCACAGAGAAGAAGGCATCTCACCATCCCTGGTCACTCTTGAATTTGTAGGCAGCTGCAAGTATGTGGCACAGGGAGCCTCCTGCTTTGAAATCTAGGAAACATTTGATCTACAAAATTGAAATAGGAAAAAAGTATGTGAGAGTTACATCCTAGATTCTCTTATTAACAATCCTTTCAGAAAATCCCATGCAAAACTAATCTCTCTCTCCAAGCTGGACTTCTTTAACCCTTATGCCACCGTATCTTGTGGCCTGGAAGAAGGGGGAGAAAGAAACCAGTATTCACAAAGCCCCACCTTGTGCCACGTACTTACTGGTTACTTCATCACCCATTACAGAACCCCTACAAGGTAGAGATATTAATCCCATCTAGAGATGAAGGGCTAGATACTCAAAAGGTTTAAATGACTTGCCCAAGATCACAGAACACCAAGTGGCAGAGCCAGGATTTGAACACAAGCCTGTGCAAATCCAAATCTCATCCAAATCCCTTTTAACCATGCCATAAGAGGGGGCACCTGGGTGGCTCAGTCGGTTAAGCGTCCGACATCAGCTCAGGTCAGGATCTCACAGTTTGTGAGTTTCAGCCCCGACGTCGGGCTCTGTGCTGACAGCTCGGAGCCTGGAGCCTGCTTCGGATTCTGTGTCTCCCTCTCTCTCTCTCTCTCTGCCCCTCCTCAGCTTGCGCTCTCTCTCTCAAAAATAAGTCAACATTAACCATGCCACGAGAGTTTCACGTATGAGCTCAGACACGCTGAGATAACCTACTGCACAAAGTATTTGTTTTTTAAGATTTTATTTTAGGGGTGCCTGTGTGGCTCAGTCGGTGAAGTGTCCGACTCCTGATCTCAGCTCAGGTCTTGATCTCAGGGTCATGAGTTCAACCCCTGTGTTGGGCTCCATGCTAGCCGTGGAGCCTACATACATACATACATACATACATAAATATCAAGACTTTATTTTTAAGTAATCTCTACACCCAACGTGGGGCTTAAAGTTACAACCCCCACATGCTCCAACGACTGAGCCACCCAGGCGTGCCTTGTTGCACAAAGTATCACTAAGACAAAGAGAGCGGTAAACTGGGGACTAGGGCAAGCCAGTAATGCCCTGACCAGGGATAGGGATGATAGGAAATTACTCAAATCTCAAAAAGTATAAAACTTACAAAACCCCCACAACTCCCTCTCCAGTTTGGAGGATTCCCCATGCATTCGCACTCACCGGCAGTTTAGTGAGTGGTGCATTGCTGACATGTTTGCCAAAAACTTCTTCCTGAAACTGTAGCAGCTGTACAACCAGGCTAGACAAGGACTTGTTGGTGGGTGGTTCAGCTTGTATATACTAAGAAGACAGAGGGAAAGGTAAGAAAAGGAGACTCCAGATGAATTGTCCATTATCTCCCTTATTTCTTCCCAGGGAGCTCTAGAAACATCTGGGGTAGAAAAAATAGGCTCTTCTTCCTCCACATGTCTAGTTTCTATAAAGAAAATGGCAGAAGGGAAGCCTTCTAAGCCCCTCACCAGAAGTTGACATTCTGCTGCCCCCAGCCCAACCTGCCAGCATTGGAGGCCACGGAGACTTCCTATTCTTTCTCAGCTACACCCTGAAATTGGAGTTGAAGGACCCTGATTTCTAGTTAACAACACTGAAGGTGGTAAAATTCTGAAGGTTCCTTAAGTTCAGGCAATGGAAGCAACACCTTTGAGGCTCTAAGCAAGACAACAGTGTATTTCTTGGGGTAACTCTGTGGAAGGCCAAGACTCCCCCCTAGAACGCAGCTTAATACGAAAGGTGCAAGGAAGTGAGGCAAGGCAAACAGACTGAGAGCTGAGTTTGTGCATTCTGCTTCTACTAGGAACTGGGCACAAAAGTCTTCGTAGGCTCTCCTAGATGGCAAGGACCAGCTACTAAGACCCAGCCTGGTGAGAAAGAGCAAGAAAACATCTATCCTTTCGGGGGAAACTGTATCCGAGACAAGCAACCCTGGGCCTTCTTACACATTTCCATATTATGCTACCTAGTATCCTAGCCTTCTGTTCTAATTTAAACCTGAGCCAACAGGCTAACTTTCTCTTTACCTTCTGACCCCTGTTTCCTCAACCCTAATCACAGAGAAAAGTGCTCTTCTCAGTGGGAGATGTAAAGAGAGCCTTGAAGGAAAAGGTAACTGACAAAGAGCTAAGAACTTGAAAGCTGAATTTGAAAGCTCACAGGCTGTCAATCCCCCCAGGGCCAGAGACTAAGCCCCTAGACTGATCTCCCTTCCAAAAAGGTCAAAGGAAGAGGCTGGGGAACCAGAGCCTCATGCTGGGGTACAGGCAAAAGCCACAGACCCAGCAGCTGTTTGTCAGGATTCTGACACTCAGAGAGACCTCTGAGATAGGGCCATAAGCAGGATCAGAGGGGCGTTCTCCTAAACAACCCATCACACTTCTGACAGGCTGCAAAGCTGGGCAGGAAGAACTGAGGAGCTGAAGGAAAACCAGAAACAGAACCTCTAACTGGGAATAGTGAAAAGGAAGAGGCAGACTATCTCCACAGAAAAACCCTATGTATAGATGTTCCTTTAAACGAGGCCTAAAGACAAAGACACCACCAGGAAGAGGTTTGACAGAAAAGTCAGGTAAGGCTTTTTGAACCCTTTGTTCACTACCTTATTATCTCCAGTTCCGAGCCGGGGGGCCAGAGATATAAAGCTGTCCTAGCCTCTGAACCCCAAACCAAAGGCAGTGCAAGGCCAGGTGGCCCAGTGACTTCATTGTGAAGCTGAGGAATGGCTTAAGAGGTGGCTGCCCAGGAACTGCTATACCCCTGCCTCCCAAGAGGTTTCCTTGCCCCTTGGATGAAAGTGGGGGACAAGCGGTAGAGACAGGTGGGCGGGGGGTGCTTCTTAGGGCTGATGAGCAGCCAAGGGCCTGCTCTGTGGCTGTTTACCGTCCTGCTTTCATCATCTCTCCGAACATACACAAAGCACTAGGGAGGCCTCAGCCTACCGGTACCTGGCTCCGTGGGGAGCTCTGGCGGGCACCGTGGCGGGCACGCTGGGGCGTGTGTGTGTGTAGGAGGGGGGGGGGGGGGGCATCAGACACCCCGTCCACCCTCGGCTGCCTCTCCCGGAAAAGCCGGGAAGGCTCTGGCCCAGGAGAGGGTGGGCGGCTGGCACCGGGACCCGCCAGGGCAGTGGAGAAAAACAAGGGGCAGAGGGCGCAGCAGGGAGGGCGGGGGCTGGAATCCCAGGCTGCGGGGGGGGGGGGGGGGGGGGGG